TGAGCGCTGATCGCTTGGGTCTTTGCTACTTCAAGCCTGTGTCTCAGCCAGGCTCTGACCCACGGCACCTTCCCTGACCGAAAGGAGGCTTCTTTGGAGGCGATAATGCTAATTATACATGGTCACACATAAATTAGGCAATACGAGCAAATGTTTAGCAGGGACTGACTGCCATCAGATGCGTGACCGCCCTCAGATGCGTTTCGTTTGTGACAAAACCAAAACATGGACCAAGTCAACAGATGTAAGCGAAGCAAGAAGGCGCCACTTCAACCCATCTCTGCTTTCAGTGGAATTCAGCTAACTCCTCGCTTGGTCTGCAAGTCAAATCCTCGGCCCCATCACAGCCATCACTGAGAATTACCAGCCAACAGCTCTCTCCCCGTTGGCTAAGCTAGAATGCAGCTGCTACCTTAAAATACTTTGCCAAACAAAACAAAGAGGTTGTGAGCGAACGGTTGTACGAAGGCAAGACCAAGCTGGAGAAGAGCCTAAAACGGGTCCCACCCCACGAAGCTGTGTCCTCGTCCCCCTCTCCGAGGCCAGTCGTGCACGGTGTACTTACTGCGTATGGGGATGAGCCGTGGACGTGCTCCAGGGAGTACTGGCGACTGTATTTCGGCATGGAATGTGCTGAACTGCTGTCGTTCAACATCAGGGGACTGCAAAAGATTCCCAAACACCGCAGAAGTTACCGCGCTGCCGGCACCGGGTCTCGGGCACCACCTCTCCCCGGCAGAGCCCACCGCCCCAACCCCAGAACTGGGCACCTGCACCCACCCGAGGGGCCAATGCAGAACCGGCCCCAGGCCTGGATGCCCTGGGGGGACAAGCGGCCACGGGGGGTGGTTGTGTCAGCACAGCAGAGCAGGCAGCCCCACGACACAGAGGAACACAATGAGCCCCCGTGACCAGCCCCTGGGCTACATTTTGCAAGTCTATTGAGCAGAAATGTAAAAACTCAGGCCTCGGAGGACTTCTTTATAGTCCCTGGTCACCTCCTTCTGCAGGCCTGTATTGTCAGTGCTCTGCTTGGCTTCACTTCTCCATGGCCAACTGCTCCAAAGATGGATTACTTGTGGTCAGCTGTGACACAACCACTTCTGTGGCCCTTTTCATGTACTTGAGTACTGTGGAGAAACTCTTTCTCCTTACAAGATAAATCATTTCAGCACGTCTTGGACATTATCACCGTATAAACCACTATCTTCATTAATAATAATCAAGCCTGCTGTGGTGTTGTCTGCCATATGGTGCTGCTGGGCACTGTTCAAACACAAAAGGACAGCCTTGCAATTCGACAGGCAACCCGGGACAAGGTGGGGGCAGGAACAGACACACAACAGAGTATCTGCCAGTTCATATGTGAACAAGTGCAAAAAATCAGGTGGAGGAGGAGCCCATCTCACAGGATGAGACTGGACGAAGGAGCGTCAGGTGAGACACAACAGGAGAACCATCTGTAAAAGCTAAGGAGGGAAAAGTAATTGTGCTACAGCACGATCCTGGGACAAAACCCAGTAACTAGTAACCGGCCAAAACAAATTAGCCTGGAAGTGTTCTTAATCGCTTACGGTGCTTAAGTACTGAACGGTCATCCAGCACAACTAGCAAGGGGCAAAATAATCCACAGCACATTTGAGGCCAGGCTTGATTAGTCTGTGAAGGCGTCACAGCAGCCTGTGACAGCAGGAGGCTGGGCTGGATGGTCCAGCGGTTCCCTTTCTGTATAACGACAGAAATACCACGGCAGTGCCAAGAGACTATTTTAGCAGTGCAAGACCCCGGCCCTCACTGCGTACGCCGCCATAGGGCAGCAGCAGTTTCACGTAGTGCAGCGGTTAGCTATGAAGTAGGTTCTGCACGGGCTTATTGTGGCCTGGATCGCAAAAAACCCTTCTCGGTATCAGTTGCATAGCAGTGTTAGCTGGTTTTGGCTGGAGCAAGTACTTGAAGGCTCACATGATCCCAATGACCGCTGTCCAGTCCTACCCCACTGGCAAGGCTGCTACAGAAGACAGAGATCTGGGGGACCCACTCTGCTGATCCTCTCTTTATTCTCTCAGACAGGGAATCTTTATCTGGATGTAGAAATGCAGACTTACATCTTCCTCTTCACCCCAAGAATACGGTTGGATTGCACCAATGAAATCAAAAACTGGATAAGCTGCGAGGAGAAAAAAGGGAAAACTTGTTACGGTGCGCACAGTACTCGGATAAGCACGGACAGAAATAGCTCTGGGACCACTCGGTCCCTGGGCTCAGAGCGGAGCCAGAGCTGGGCACCAGGGGACACGGCGGAGTGCTGACTGCAGCTCCAAGCACAAAGGTGAAGGCCAGGGGTAAAACCATTCGGCAGCCAGCCGAATTCTGCATTGCAACACTGCCAGCCCAAATTTAGCCTCTCCCCGCTGGATTTCCAGAATCTCATGGTAACAGGAAGAAAACACAGCAAGCAAAATTATTCTTGAACAGAATTAACTCCACTGCATCCCACCAATCCTGCAAGTGCCCAGCCCGGTCACCGACGTCACCGCATACACGAACGCAGGAGCGTCCCGATCCCTCCATCTGGAAGACCGGGATTTACCTTATTGACAACTTTCTGCTGCTGAGCGTGCTTCTGCCTCAAGCTGGCTACTTCCCTCCACAACGCCTCATTCTCACTGCAAGAGAAGAAAAAGCCATCTGAGAAAAAAACCGCAGCCTCTCAGGCAGAGCAAATAAAGCGCGGGGCAAGCTGGCAAACTGCAGCAGGGGATTTGCCGACATCTCCAGATACCGGCTCATTTACAACCTCCTGGGGCTGCGGGTGAAATTGCGTTCATTAACTTTGCTTTGCCATCATTTTAGCTTCCGCAGCTCCAGAAACAGCAGCTATTCACACGTGGGCAGTAACACAGAGCCTTGCCCGGAGAGAGCGAGCAGTTCACATCTGCTACAAGCCATTACTGTGCCCTTGTGGAAAGGCCCCTGGTGACCCAGCTCAATCTCCTTGATCTAGCCCAGGTGCACGCAGGGCCGGTTATAAATCGGCTTCTCTAGAGACGGGGAAGGGAGGGGGGGAAAGCCAAGGAGGAGCGAGCTCCGCACCCAGGCAGAGACCTAGGCTGCATCCGGATGGAGCGTGGGCTGCACAACCGCCGCACCGAGGAGCTGCACAGCACCTACCCCTCGGATTTTCTCCTGCAGCGGCAATCCCCAAACTCCACATGCTTTTTAGAACTCCCTGTTTGGCTTTTCTGTGCGTAGACATGAAAACAGCGATGAGCGGGGTTTGTGTGTTCCGTGAACGTAAAAGACAAGGGAGAAATTAGCCATAAACCTGCAACATTTTCTCCTAGTCTTAAAGCTACCAGAGCTCCACGGAGCTCATAGGTGACAGGGTTTAAGTTACACGCTACGTGAGCGCAGCAGTGACATGATCTCAGTGCCAGAGTTACTCCACAAGCAAACCAGCCATTTCCAAGGCTTTTTTGGGGAACAACCCCCCCGCCACCACCTTTGTGGGATCCTGACCGCTCAAGCAACCATCTCCCTTTCAGATTTTAATTCAGAGACTTTCTCCTCCGGAGGGTTTTGAACGAGCGGTGACAATCCAGGAGAGGCTGGATGGCTTTCCTTGGACTGCAGGGAAGAGGAGCAGGATGATGGTGCCTGGCAGAGCATACCCAGAACGGGGTGGCCAGAGGCCCCCGGTTGTACTCGGTGTCCTGGTTTCGGCTGGGATAGAGTTAGTTTTCTTCCTAGCAGCAGGCACAGTGCTGTGGTTTGGATTTAGGATGAGAATAACGCTGATAACACGCTGATGTTTTCAGTTGTTGCTCAGTACCGCTTATGCCAGTCAAGGACTTTCCAGCTTCCCATGCTCTGCCAGGGGCACAAGGAGCTGGGAGGGGGCACAGCCAGAATAGTTGATCTAAACTGACCAAAGGGCTATTCCATACTGCCCCAAGGGCCATTCCATACCATCCGGCGTCATGGGCAGTATAGAAACTGGGGGGGTTGGCCGGGGAGCAGCGATCGCTGCTCGGGAACTGGCTGGGCATCGGTCGGCGGGTGGGGAGCAATTGCATTGGGCATCACTTGCTTTGGATATCATTATTATTATTATCATTATTATACTGTTACTATTAGCATTACTATTTTACTTTATTTCAATTATTAAACTGTTCTCATCTCAGCCCAGGAGTGTTTCTCACTCTCACTCCTCCGATTCTCTCCCCCATCCCACCGGGGCAGGGGCAGTGAGCGATGGCTGCGTGGTGCTGAGCTGCTGCCTGGGGCTGAACCCCGACACTCGGTTACGATACAAGGGCAAGATGAGCCCTCGGCAGAGCAAAAGGGTGGGTGACAAAAAATCAGAGAGGGAGAACTCACAAGAAATCACCCCAACTTTCTCAAAACAGGCTATCGCTTGCAGATGGGTCAAAACCATCCGAGTACAGAAAGCGTTTCCCCTTGGAGGGGACAGTCATGCCGAGCTGCCCGCTCTGAGGGGTGAGCTTGCAACCAAGGGGCTGCGTTTCGGCTACGGCGAGGAGCGGTCGGTGCTTTCGGCAGCAAAGCCAGGGTGTCCCGAAAGGCAGCGCAGCCGCCCGGGGATGCGAGAGGCCTCGGGGGGGGGAGCCGGGGGCTG